CGCCTGTCCCTCGAGGAGCCCGCCGACGAGGGGCGCTGCGTCTGCCGCCGTACCACGCGTACGCGCCGGACGGGGCCGTCGCGGAGGCGGTGTTCGTCAACCTCGGCCGGGAGGAGGGGCGTGTTTGGGACCGCGTTTCTTGCGGCGGTGGTGAAAACAATCCGAGAATCGTGCCAAACGCTCCCACGGTGTGATGATTTTTTCCCCGCACACGGCATCGGAACAGCATAAATGAACTGGCTTCTGCGTTTTCGGCACCGCGGCCCTCGCGCCGTGATACATGTACCGCACCGCGCGGTGGGTAACCGCGGTCCCAAACACGCCCGAGGACTACATCGCGCTCGAGAGGCATGGGGTGGACGTGCGTGGCCGCGTCACGCTGGCGCGCCGCGGGAGCCGTCGCTGTGCTCATCGCCGGCAACGCGAACGGCGGCGTAGAGAGGGGAGTCGTTCTTCTCGGCAGCCCCTGCGATCCACTCACCACCGGGTAGGTCACCACCGGCGGTGCGGAGCTTTTGGGGAAGGCACTCAAGCGGCGGTTGCCGGCTATCTCATGCTGACCTCTACGGCTCTACTGGATGTCTGGATCCATTTGATAATCTTGCAGAAGCAATGCATCTTTATGCGGTACATAGAACATTTGCTTGCTTCCTCTATTGTTTATATGATATATGAATATGGTGCACGCAAGTCCATGGGATTCATGCCGTATGCTCCCTACATGCTCGATGTTTTGTCTCTGAGATCTTTAAGCATGCAGCACTTCGATCACCAAATGGCTACACAGATCATACGGCACATTTGATGACAACGACATACAGGAATTAAATGCTACTGGTAGCATGTGAAATAGTGAAATAAAACTGTGTATTGAAAGAGCCAGTTTTATTCCTTCCTCATTTCAAAGCTATAAAATTGACGTGTCAGTTTGAAAACCGAGTCATGAACCCTTGCATTAAGACTGACCTTATCAAACAAATCCTACGAAAGTGTGAGTGTCCACGTCCACACGGCCGGACAATTAAATGCATCCCAAGCTTCTCACGGAGGCAAGGAACAAATAAACTACCTTTCACAACTTCTTAATTCCTCTTCCTTTCGCAACTTCTTAATTCCTCCATGATCCAGCACTCTTGCGTTAGTTTAGGGTAAAAACGGTGAAGTACACTTGCCTGCCCTCGCAGAAGATAAAAGGTACTCCCTCCATGCTTAAAAAAATAAAATCGTTTTGACAACAGCACGGTCTTTAAAGTATAACTTTAACTACTTATTTTTATAAAGATATTTATCAAAAAGTGATATATGTAAATTTTTTGTGAAAGTATTTTTTAAGACAAATCTATACATATGGTTTTCAAATTTACAAACTCAACAACTTAAAAGTTATTCATGATTTATATTTTCAATGTTTGATACAAGCCTTCTTTAAAACGACTTTATTTTTTTAGTATGGAGGTAGTAGACTTGACTAGTAGTAGACTTGACTATAATGATTTACCGCACTTATGGCTGCTTTCTTCCTACTTCTTGTAGCAGCAGCAAGCAGCGCAGCACAAGCAAGCGCTTTCGAACAGGCCCGAAACGCAGCAATTCCTTTGTAAAAAAGAATACACATTAGTGTAGGGACCGTCCCTTTATTTTGAAGGAATTAGAATCTACTTAATGGATAGAGCCGGCTCTGGATGCGGGCAAACGGGGCGGCCGCCCTGGCCCCCCAACTAGGTAGGGCCCCACCCCAAGTATGTAAACACCAGGTATATTAGTATTTGGCCCAGTACTGAACGTTGCCGGCCTGCTAGTCCGGGCGTCCGCGAGAAGGATGGTGTCCGTATTAAAAAAACAGAAAGAAAGAACTAGCGTCCACGAGAAGCCATACGCACACGCCGACACGCGACTCGACTCCTCTTCCGCGGCGGCAACGCGGTCTGCGGTCACGCAGACCGGCGGGCGGACGCGACACGCGCGGCGGTGGCGGCGACCGGCGACGTGAGACACGAGGGCGCGGCTGTTGCGCCTGCGCGAGGCTAGACCGTGAGACGCTGGACTCGACGCCACGCGACGCACGCGCTGCGATCTTCGCGACTCTGCCCGACCCAGACGAGCGACGACGAATCGATGATCGGCAGTGAGCCACACGCCCACACTAAGCCAGCAACGCGAGTAGATGAGTTACTTTTTTTAGCTAATTGTTTCTCTAAATCTTAACAGCATCATGTCATCAAGAAAGTATGCTTCCAGCGGTGAGAAAAGGAAAAAAGAAAGCACGAATAGATGAATTCATACAATTACAGAGGGGTTCTATGCATAAGTTTTTAAAGAATAATCCAAACACTTCAAGAGATCCAAATGAGTTGGCGATAGTTGTCTGGAAGGAACCAACAGATTATTTCAGAAGATGAAGGTCCTCCTGATGACAATGTTGATATTAACATGGAAGAAAACAATGTGAGTATTGATGAGCACGTATTTAATTCAAATACTACAAAAAATAGTAGTCTTGATGAGGAACCGGTGTTTCACATGGATATTTATGATAAAAAAATTGGGATAATCTTGATAACAAAGCAAGGGATATATTAGTTGAAAAGGGGCCTATAAGAGAAGATAATATTGTATTCCCTTTCGACGATAATTTAAGGCATCATTATCATAGAAAAATGAGTAATGGAGAGCTACGTGATAGGAAATGGCTAGTTTATTCCAAACACTTGGATAAAGTATTTTGCTTTTGCTGTAAGCTTTTTAATTCTAAAAAGTGCAAGAGTTCATTGGGAAATGATGGGTATAGAGATTGAAAACATATCAATGAGAGCCTGAAGGAACATGAAATTACTGTTGAGCATATTACCAATATGAACTCATGGAATGAATTGAGAACTAGATTAAGCGAAGAAGAGACAATTGATAAAGAGTTACAACAGCAAATCTCCAAGGAGAAAGAGCACATAAGGCAAGTACTGATGAGAATAGTTGCCTTTGTAAAAATCCTTAGTAGACATAATTTGGCTTTTAGAGGATCTAACGAGCAGCTTTATAATGACCAAAATGGCAATTTCTTAGCTTGTGTTGAGATGTAGAAAGAAGCATTTTGATGAAAATAATAGTGAGGAAGCACTCTTGGAAGGTGAGAAGGAATTTAAAGTTATTTACTTCGCGGTTATAATTGATATGGCAGTCCGTTTATTGGAGACTAGATTTCAAGAATTGGAATCATTCAGAGAATTATTTGGATTTTTAATGAGTTCAGCAAACTTGAAGGCATTGGATGGTCCTGAGCTAAAAGTGTGTTGCACAACACTAGCAGCAGTTTTCTCTCTAAATGGTTCATCTGACATTGATTTAAATGATCTAGTTTCCAAGTTGAGTGTTCTACAATTCACTTTGCCGAATACACCAATGATAGCTACGGGGATTTTTGAGTTTGTTACAAAGGCTGATTGTTATCCTAATGCTTCTATTGCTTATCGGATCTTGTTTACTATACCTGTGACTGTGGCATCAGCTAAAAGAAGCTTCTCAAAACTAAAATTGTTGAAAAACTATTTGAGATCTACGATGTCTCAACAGAGGTTAAATGGTTTGGCAACATTATGCATTGAGAAGCGATTGTTGGATGAGATCGATATTGATACCATCATCGATGACTTCGCATCGAGGAATGTTAGAAGAGATTTTTAAGATAATTTAATATAGGAATTTTTAAGGTAATTTAATATTTATGAATTGTTTCATATGAATATTGCTATTGCATCTGCGGTTAAGTGTTTATATATACACACACATTTAGTGCTATCAATGTCATGTATGTATAAAGGGTCCCGGATTGTAGTTTCGTCCTGGGCCTCCAAAAAATCAGGACCGGCCTGTTACTGAATTAGACTATTTAGCTTGGAATTTGAGATTCCATAACTTTTCAAAGTTCACATATAAAGACTATCTCAAATTTACAGGGTGGGAAATGTAAATTGATTATATAAATCATCATACTATGTTTCTACTCTCCAACTTATAAGACGTTCTTCAACTCGCTTCTGAAATGCAACATATAAGTATCTCACTTGCATAGCTAACAATAGTATACAAATATATTACATATACAACCATATTAGCTTAATTAATATGTGTCTAAATTATAATTCATTAGAATGAATTCAATTCTAAGGATCCAAACGGGTCTAATCAAAATCAAAGTATTTTAAGTTTGATTAAATTTACACTAAGCAAGTGAGCAGAAGTCGCATGAGAAGAGAAGAGCTACCTAGGTGAGGTCAATGAGTTTGTTGACCTTGACGACCTAAGAAATAGCAGCGGTAGACATATTTTGCCCAAATCATAAGGGAAGTTACACGCTAAGGCTATGCAGCTTTTTATTTAAAGGAAACAAATCTGCATTCATCATCTCTTGCAAGCAAGAAAACCAATTGTGATAAATGTTGGACGCAATAGAAACTATGTCCAACTTGAAAATTGCACACGAATAGTTGTGCAGTGTTAGACTTTAGGGCAGTCCCAATGATAGAAACCAGTAGTTTCTATAACATAGGATACCGCACCAAAAAAGTAGTGCTTTCCAACCCATGGTTTCTATAACATCATTCATACAAAGAGTAAATTAAATGCACCACCAAAAACAGATAGATCAATTGTGACAACTAATTTTACAGCCCACATGTGTTCCGTCGACAACACACAATGACAGAAACAAAATTGGTCGATAACTGCCAGCAAATCAACACAGCCGGCAAACATAGATCATATTTCTGCATTCCATCACTTTTCAGAACCAAATATCACCATACACGACCCATAATTCAGTCTCGAAAACCATACATTAATTAATAATAGCAATCCGGAGATAAATATAACATGTAACATACATAGTTCATACGGAAGTACTGAAGTTCATCATATGCAAAATAAAATAATAAGGTGCCACGTCCATGTCAGGTAGGTTGCACATGCACTCCAAAATCCATCAGGTAGCAATGGACTCCAAATCTTCAGAAACCATCTTCTACAAGGAAAGAAATAGTGATTAGATGAAAAACATTACTTAGTGCAATTGAAAAGGTTGAACTGGCACATGTGTTTTTCAAAAAAACTAATCTGTTCTTTGTAAACAAACGTACTAGGATGACTTAGCTATATTTGCACGCTAAACCAAATCAGATTGAAGATATGTACCTAATTATTTTGACTATATGTATTCCCAAACTTTTGCTAAATATGATCAATCAAATCAGATTGCAGTTGTCTATACGCTTGGCGATCATGTAAGGTAGTATTTCTGTTAAGTACATCTTCCATCTCAGGGTTTTCTCCATGAGAGATTGTAGCTTCTTGAACAATATATGTGCTGGCTTCCTCATTCAAATCAATTGGAACCTGCTCTATATCCTTCTCATCTTCAATTATCATGTTGTGGAGAATTATACAGGCAAGCATGATATTCTCCAGATCTCCTTGGTCATATAGACGGGCTGGTCGACGCAAAATACAAAAGCGAGACTGCAAAATGCCAAAGGCGCATTCAGCATCCTTCCTTGCCCCTTTTTGCTTCTCAGCAAAAAGTTTATGTTTATCAGATTGTGGTTTACGTATAGACTTCACGAAAACAGGCCACTCTGGATATATGTCGTCTGCTAAGTAATAACCAATATTATGTTGTCTACCATTGATAGAGTACTGCACCTGGGGAGCATCTCCTCTCAGCTGCTCGACAAACAAATGTGATTGGTTAAGCACGTTGATATCGTTGTTCGATCCGGCAACACCAAAGAAGGCGTGCCATATCCAACGATCATGCGAAGCAACTGCCTCTAGAATGATCGTAGGAACACCGTGATCACCGCGGGTATCCATACCCTTCCATGCATAAGGACATTTTTCCCAGTGCCAGTGCATACAGTCAACACTCCCTAGCATGCCAGGGAACCCACGACGCTCACCAATCTCCATTAAGCGCTCAACATCTTGTACTGTTGGTCGCCTCAAATATCCCCCCCCAAATTTTGCAATCACTCCCTCCACAAATAACTTCAAACACTCTACTGCAGTACTTTCACCAATCTTAATATACTCATCAAGCTGGTCTGCTGGGCTTCCATTTGCTAACTGCCTTATTGCAGCAGTGCACTTTTGAATTGGAGATAGCCCAGGGCGATTAGTAGCATCCACTCTTAAGGTGAAAAAGGGAGACCACTCACCTAGGGCATGGACAATGCGCAGAAACAAGAGCCTTCTCATCCTAAACCTTCTACGAAAGATAGTAGAATTATAGATAGGATTCTCCGTGAAATAGTCATCCATAAGCCGCTGATTGGCTTCTTCTCGAGGCCTTGCCACATACCTCCTTGGACCACTACTGCGTCTCCTCCCTTCTTCTAGTGCTTCAATATCATTCTTCAATTCTGCAACCATCTCATCTTGCAGGTCTTCTAATACTTCTTGCTCGGCTTCAAATTCTTCAAATGTGTACAACTCTTCTGGATATATGCTGCCATCCTCGTCTTGAGGTTCAGCATCACTCGGTGGTTGGCTAGACATTAGGAGAACGAAGAGAGAAGAACTACAATCCTCGTCTTGAGGTTCAGCATCACTCGGTGGTTGGCTAGACATTAGGAGAACGAAGAGAGAAGAACTACAGAAAGAGGAGTATGTATACCCACAAGCAGTATTCACACCAAGACTCGGTGGTTGCCATATATATGCAGGGAAGCAAGCAGTATTCACACCAAGACTCGGTGGTTGCCATATATATGCAGGGAAGCAAGCAGTATTCACACTAGTAATTTTCAGTTTTCAAACCATGATGGGTTTCAGTTTTGACACTAGAGTCAGTTTTCACACTAGAAGCAGTTTTGACAGTAATAATGGTCAGTTTTCACACCATGATGGGTTTTAGTTTCACACTAATAATGGTCAGCTTTCACACTAGAGTCAGTTTTCACACTAAAAGGTTCTCTCCCTGTATTGCTTCACTATTTAGGTATGGGCTGTTGAATCTGTGGTTTCATTTCATATATAGAAGAGGAGTCATGCGTCATTCACAAATGGGAACTCAGAATATTTGAGACAATTGATGAGATATCCTCAAGTTTATATCAAACAATCAACAAAGAGGTTGTTCCAACTAAAGAGGTTGTCATGCAACAGACATCAAGTTTGTATCAAATAATAATCTTGAAAGGATACATCATAAGCAGTTTTGACACTAATAAATACATCAGTTTTCAAGTGCCAGTTACCTAGAAACCCAGTAGTATCACATAGAAACTCATCATACACTCCAGTATAAGAAAAAGCTTCTGGACACCAAGTTCATACTTGAAAACCTGCTGTCACAAAGAAATTAAACTTTAACACATACTCTCCAGTGCTCAAGTAATTGTCACTACAAGCATTTAGCAAATACCTTAATTATCTGTACCAAATAAGACCAACCTCATACTCTCTAGTGCTTTCTCCCTCTCAGCCAAAGCATGAGCATTCATATTAGTTGTTGGAGCTAAGAGAAGCTCTCTGTAAGTGTCTAGCATTTTACACTTGAGTTGCTTCTCTGCTGCCTTATCAGTCAACCTAGCAGCTTCTACCTTACTTTTTGCCATAATTTGTTGCGTCTCCGCCATCTTCTCACGGTCCTTTCTAGCCAATGTGCTTACTTCAATGAACTTGTCTAGCTTGTCAGTAATAGCAGAAAAAGCTTCAGGTGTCTTCTTTTTCCCATAGAGCTCAGCCTTAGCCTTCTTATGTCCAATAGGACGAATCTTAGGATTATCTTCCAAATTCACCACTTGAGACGGCGAATCAGCTGCACTCTTGTTCTTTTCTTTTTCCTGTTCCTTTTTCACATATGCAGACCACTTCCTTTCATTCCTCACAACCTTCCAAAAGTGCTTCAGTGTAAATTCTTTGTCATTATGTTCACCAGCATACATCTTCTCAGCAATTTCCATCAGTTGATCATCGCTCACACCACTTCTGTAGACTTTGGTGGTTCTATTCCAGCAACCATGGAAATCCATTACTGGTTTCTTAACACGGTCCCAGCGGATCTTCAGTTGATTCCGGTTTCTCCTACGGCAAACCTCTGTGCTTTTATTGTATTCTTCAGTAACATCCGTCCAATATTGATCTGCCTTCCTATCGGTTCCATCAACTGGGTCCTTTGAGTTACGCAGCCAAGCAGAAGCCTACATTCAAAAAACAACACCTACAAGTTTATAACCAAGCTGATTGTTCAAGTTGTTCACAAACTAAGAAAGGATGCTTACCAATCTAACGTCTTCAGGTTTCGTCCAATTCAATCGCCTCTCAGTCCTCTCGTCTTCGTTGGTTTCATCCGCATCAATATTGATTGTTTCTTTGTCTTCTGCATTGCTTTCTAGGGTTCTTTTCAAACTTGGAGCAGTTGGAGAAATTGTAGTTCTACTTGTTGTATTTTCAACTAAATGGAAATTCTCTGGACTACCATTTGACTGGAGAAAATTGGTAAACCCACCTGGTGGGTACATCCTAAAAAAATGAAAAGAGATGTTCAATGAAACTGATAAGAACAAAGATGAACCATCTGGACTACTTGTTCATATAGAAAAGCATTTTCTACCATAAATACTTGTAGTAACAAAGATGAACGTTGGAAACACTAAAACCGATAAGAACACATACCCTTCATTGGAGCCCATCGGAGAGGAATTTGTCCACCACGTTGGCAATCCGGTACGCTTGAAGGCTTGGAAGTGGTGGAGATGTCATGCAGCCATCGCGAGAGGGATTACCGGCGCCGAACCGGATCCATCATCGAGGGCGATGGGAGCAACGACTACCGATTCGGATCGGGTAGCGGCGGCAGAGCACCCCTCGCCTCGCCCCGCCTTCCCCTGTCTTTGCCTTGCTCGGAGCTTGACGATGAAGGCCGGAGAAGATTCATGCTTGAAGATTGGGGGTTTGGATGATTCTAGGTCTTGGAGGCCGTGCTATTTGAGCCTGTAAGCGCGCAAGGGGGAGATCTAGGCGAGCCTGCTGGGAAAGGGCGACGCAGCATGGGAGAAGCGCGGGAAGGAGGGAAGGAGCGAGCTCTCAAGAAATCGGCGGGAGCGCGTGGGGAGATCCAGCGGCGCTGGGGAAAGGGCGCGAGATCCAGCGAAGCGAGCGCCATTATCGGCGCGACGCAGCGGCCGGCGGAGCGCGGGGAGATCCAGGCGAAGCGCCTTGCCATCGGCCGACGCAGTGGCGGGAGAAAGCGGGGGGGTGATCCAGGCGAGTGCGCGCCATCGGCGCGAGGGGTCGGCGGCGCATGGGATCCGGGTGAAGGGCGCAAGACGCTGGTCGTTTCTTCCCAACGGCGTTTTCGTAGTTTCTAGGAGCATCGGTGCTAGCGTCGACGTCGTTTTCCTACTGAGGAAACGGTTTCTTCGTTTCTCTCTCTCTCTTCATTAATTTTTATGCCAAATCAGCAAAATGCTGACTTGTCCAAGTAATTAATGAAGATAGAAACTACCATAAATACACCATTGGGAGTGCCCTTAGTAGCACTCCTATCTCATAGGGAAGTGTCACACAATTAGGACTTGCAATGGATGTCACAATATATGTTTTTCACAGTCAAGAGATGGAATTAAATATAATTGCTTTTTTTGTGCAAAACTTCAAGAATTGTGCATCACGTTATAAAGTACAATAGAGTAATGTTTTTCATTACTTAAGCATAAAACGTTTTAGAACCTTACAGATATATGTAGACCTTAGATTTGAAACTACCTAGTAGCCAGAAAAAAAAAACGAAAGAGAGGGGCACGTGAATCTACCAAGAACAGCGTACACCATGGACCACTGCACGAAGACGGAAGGTCCGAAAATATTGCATTGAACTTCGATTGCAGTACGTACTCAAGCGGCGGGACCGCGGTCCGCGGAATGCCTTAAATTGAGTCGTTCATTATTACTCCGTCGCTGGGCTCGAGATGAAACGAAACTCGGTACGTATTCCCTCCGTACCGAGTCATCACCGTTTACGTGTAGTGTCGATAATTTTAACTTGATGTTTAGACTGCCTTAAAATTCTAAGTTTTTTCACTCTCTCTCTATCACATCAATTTTTGGACGCATGCACGGAGCATTAAATATAGGTAAAAAAATAACTAATTACACAGTTTAGTTGTAAATCACGAGACGAATCTTTTGAGCCTAGTTAGTCCATGATCGGACAAAGTTTGTTAAATACAAACGAAACGTGCTACAGTGTCCATATTACAAAAATTTGCAATCTAAACGAGGTCTTATAAAAAATACGTGCAACATTTTTATCTCTAAATAAATTTATTAAAAAATTAGATTCAAATATCTATCTAATTATACTAATTATATATTATAAATATTAATATTTTTTAATATACCGAGAAACCAAAACGACATACATTTATACGGACGGAGGGAGTACACCATACCAATGCATGCAACCCCCCATCATTTTCATGTTTCCCAACACCCATGTGGGGTGTCCACACTCCACAGACGTGAAATTTTCGTATTCTGGTCTCTTTTGAAAACAATTTTTAGAAAAATACCAATGTCAAAACATTTTATGAAAATAGATCATTTTTAGGCGTCTTAGCACATGACGCCGAGATATGAGGCTTGGCGTCGTGTCACTAGACGTCGAGGTATTGCCACGTCACGGACGACCGGGGTCGTCGTCGACACGTTGGCGCGTGGGTCCGCGATGTCGGCGTCGTGTCAGCCGACGCCAAGTACCCAACCTCGGCGCGGTCTGACTGCGCGCCGAGATCTGGCCCCATCCGGAGCGCGGCCCAGGCGGCCCAACAAAGCACGGTGGCCCAGCAGCTCAGCGTTGGGTCACTTAACGCCGAGCCTCCAGACCTCGGCGTGACCCGACTCAACGCCGAGGTCTGGACCCTTTAGGCCGCGCCGAGGCCCCTTCTTCTTCCTCCCTTCATTCTAAAACCACCGGCCTCCCTCTCTTTCTCTTCTCCCCCGCGCCGCCAGCAAACCCTAACCTTCAAAATCGACCCCCGGTGCCACGATCTCGGCTCCCGAAGCTTCCTCGAGGTAATGGTCCCTCCCCTCCTCCATTCTATCCACGTAGATGTGCTTACATTATCCCTAATCATGTGGAATCATGGTTGTTTGGTGATTTGGTATATTTGTGTTTGCATTTGCAAAATGTATGGCTTAGGATGATTGAGTGCATTGTTGTTTAACTGTTTTATGTGATGAACATGTTAGGTTAGTTTGGTTTCTAGTTATTTTGGTCATTAGGGTTATTTGTTTATTGTAGGTGTCATTAGGGTTAGTTATTTGTTGGTCATTAGGGTTACTATGTATGTTATTTATTTGTTGGTCATTACATTTCAATTTGTTATGACTAGAAATGATTATGTTGTTATGGTTGAAAAACGATGAAATGATATATTTTAGTTTCTACTTATTGGATTGAAATATATTCATATGTTACACTACTTGTTGTGTGATGGCTGTAGATGGATAAATTAGTGAGGTTGCATCATGGAGGCCGTATTGTTAGGACAAGAGATGATAGTTTGGAATTTCTAGACATGTGTGAGGAGTTGTTGATTTTTTCTGAAACACCATCTTTGACCCAGTTAGTGGAGCGAGTGAAGGTTAAGTTAGGCTGGAATGAAGGAGACATACATGTTCAGTTTGAAGGTGTCATAGATGTTGGGTCATCGAAGGGTCCTCGGATCAAGCGGTTGCTCAAAATTACAAGCGAGACTGAATGGAATGATTACAAGGCAGTTGTATTGGCCTCATAAGTGCGATCTTTGGATTTAGTAGTAAGTAAGGAGTCCGCTTAGGAAATGATAACTTGAAGCATGGCCATCTTCCCCGCTCACATAGGTTATGGTCCTTTGCCTCAAGAAGAAATACTTGTCACACAACTAGGCTACGGTGGAGATGAGGAAGAGAATCCGCTTGTTAGATGGTGAGGGCAATCATGATAGTGATGAAGAGGATGATGATTATGTAATTGTTGATGCAGAAGAAGGTTTGGACGACGCTAGCGGAGACTTTTCTATTGAGGATGAGCTTAGCGACGAAGATTATCTTAGTAGTGAAGAAGACTTTGGTGATGCTAGGGCTACGAACCGCTTTTGACATGGAGATAGCTGGAGATGATGAGTCCTTCAGTGAGGAGATAGCCAAGACTCGATGACGATCGCCTGCTGGTCGCCCTCAATTTAAGGGAAATAGAGATATTGTCTAGGGTCTTGCCTTGGAGAGATCCACTAGTTGGTGATTTCGAGGACCTTAGCCATGGTCATAGGGCAATGGTGATGGTGGGCCAAGTGATACAACTGTGCTCGATGTTAGCGGTTGCCTCATCATACTGGAAGGGCATATTGTTTGCTACCATGGATGAGTTGAAATCATGGTTGCAAGAGTACTCCATTGTACATAACCGACCTTTTAGGGTCATCAATTCATTCAAGGAGAAGAGGTACACTGTTGCTTGTGAAGAACAACAGTGTGGTTGGAGAGTATGTGCTAGGAAGACGAAGGCAGGCGAATGGAAGATTACCTCAGTGAAGCAACCACATGTTTGTGCCACTACTGAGGCAGAAGAGAACCATCTGTAGCTCAATTCTAGGTTCATTGCAAGGCAATTATGCCCCGTGGTGAAGCATATGCCAACCATTACGGTGTCTGCGTTGGTTGAGATCATCTTCCAAAGGTACAATTACTATGTCAAGTATGGGAAAGCATGGAGGGCAAAGCAGCGTGCACTGGAAATAATATTTGGAAATTGGGAAGAAGCTTATGAGCGCCTCCTGTAATGTTAAACGAATGAGGGTAAATCCTAGGATGCACTTGAGTATTTACCTAAGGAGGGTGAAACAAGGAATGGTAGCCGTATTTGGAAGGGCGCTTTGGGCGTTCAAGGCAGCATCGAAGCATTCAAGCATTGCAGCCCGTCTGTCTCAATTGACGGACCTTTCTTACAGGGAAATTTGAAGGCACAATGCTTATTTGTATTGGGACGATGCAGAGGACCACTTGTGCCATTGGCCTTTGCGATTGTTCTAAGGAGGACACGGATAGTTGGTGTTGGTTTCTCGAGGCTAGTAAGACAAGTGGTAATTGGTCCGGGACGTGATGTTTGTGTGATATCCGATAGGCATGTTGGCATTCTCAATGCCGTAGAACAAGAGATTCCTCGGTTACGGCCAAATATCATCACCGGTGGTGCACCGTACACCTTGCTCGAAATCTTATAAGACGTGATCACACAAAGGACAACTTCAAATTATTTGAGGAGGTTTGCAGCAAACAAGAGGTTCAATTATTCAAAGACAAGTTAGATGCCCCGGTTAGCCACAAATGTTGATGGCGAGATAATTCTTGAGCGAGTTGATGGCGTCAAGGATAAGTGGTCACTTGCATATGACACGGGTGGTTGGAGATGGGGCTTCATGACTAGTAACATGGCGTAGATGTTCAACAAACCTTCTAAGAGGTTGTCGTGGTCCGCTGCAGGATCGCTATTGCCTCATTCACCTTCTACAAGTTGAATTCTTGCTTCGCTTTTGAGGAAGAAGCATGCGAGGTCTCTATGGACAAAGAGCAAAGCTTGGCCACTTTTAGCATCTCGTGAACTAGCTTTCTCAAAGAAAAAGTCTAAACGATGTAAGGGTTCATGTTTCGA